ACCCCATAAAACGTGGCGATCTCAGAATCTATAAGAGCTAGAGACTTGAACATTTTTTTGTAGGTCCGCGCATATCAAATTTGGTTCACATATTCGATGACTACTCAAATTCTTTAAATTGAAGTTCGGTTGGAAATAGGGCCATTATATGAAGGCGTTTGCATCTTTACCAAGCCAATAGAATATGTAGATCATATGCTGACATTTTCACTATTACCATTAAGTAAAACAGAAGTTATTAAACAAAACGTTTGGCCAATACGCAGAAGCATTCAAATGCGTGTATTCTTTTCTCTTCGCAGGATCGAAATGGCGATTGAATTGTGTTGAATTATCAACTACTTAAGTTCAAATTTGCAACCTCTTGTACAAGCAGCGCAGTGGCGGTGTTGGTAGAGGCGATGCTCTTAAGCGATAATTTCTGGGTTCGAATCCGGCGGCGAAGAGACATTTTTATTGTTTTTTTATTTTTTAATTATGGAGTGGCATTGTTAATAGAATTGATGCGCGTTGCATAGACAATGTGGGTTCGAAACTTGGTGTCGGCATGTATTTTTATTTGTTTTGTTTTGAATACTCGATACAAACTATTGAAATTATTAAAACAGGGGATCAGGGTATCTTCTAGTCGGGCACCTCGTCTAGAGCTTTATTCTTGTTTTTCTTTACGATTAAACATTTTCTAAGGAGAACTTTAAGAACATTTATGACTTTGCTGTATAAAAAATGTTATTAAATAGGCTTATCCATACATTAGTTTAAAGAATTAGGCATAGGCATTGCAGTTAAAGTTTAAGAAATTTAAGCTTTGAGTAAAAGTTAAGTGAAAACAAAGAAATACCTAAGAAATACTTTTCACTGTAACTATTTTAATACAAAACGTAGTGAAATCACATAATGTGAATAGTTATGGAATTTAATATGCTTAATCTCAATCTATAATCTATATAAATATATATATATATATATATATATATATATATATATATATATATATATATATATATATATATATATATATATATATAATTTGTACAATATAAATAAAAGTAAAAATAATTAAATATCTGAAATACTTGAAATTTTTTAATAAATTACAAAACTACATTGTTTTACGAGTAATATATATATATATATATATATATATATATATATATATATATATATATATTTATTATTATTTTTTATTTTTATTTATATTGTACAAATTGTCTTTGCCTGTGCAACATTTTGTTCAGGCAAATTTCTTAAGGAGTTCCCAAGAAAGTATATATATATATATACATAAATGTATATATATATTTGGGCTGTTATAAAAATAGTTTTATGTTAGCTAATTTGCTTGATGTTGGCTTTTAGTTGGCAGAGATATAGACAGCAAACGCAGCTTTGATATAAGTTTCGATTTTTATATTAAAGCTGCTCTACTGTCTGGCATATGTTTAAGAACCAAGTTATTAAATATTATTTTATTAAATATTATTAAATATCAGAGTATGGACAGCATCTCAAAGAAGCACATCAGCTTGTCGGAACTAAACCGAAAAACATTTACAAAACTACTTAGTGTTAACATGCGTTAACTACAGCCCTGATTTTAGGCCAAATCAAAAATGGTTGTCAATATTTCGAAGGCAATTCATTAGTGGATGCAGACTTAGACGCTTTTTCCACAGATCTTAAAAGGAAATTTCTCACTTTCAATTGGTCTCAGACTCACGCTGCATATTTAGCTAATAGAATGGAGACATTCTGCTTCTGGAAGTCATTGGAAATGGTAATACAAAGCTATTTATATATATATATATATATATATATATATATATGTCAGAACGTATAATACAGATAAGTGAACGGGCTGAATCAACCTAGCCATACCCTTCTGCCTGTCTTATAAACTAAAAGCTAAAGACTTTCGATTGCTCATTCCAATTTCCAATTTGGTTTTTAGAACTTCATTTGAAAGACATGACAGCTAAAAACCCAATTTACTAAGAGGTTTAATGTTATGCTATAAATATTTGAGACAAACAAACACATTCAGATTTGCGCTAAATTCTATTAATATATGAAGATAATCTTGGATAAGTTATACATATATACGTTTATCGAGAACATAATAGTAATAAATTTGGCATAGAGCAGACAAAGCGCAGCCGCAGCATAAGGTTTTTGCTTCCATGTGTGGGTGTATGTGTTGGTGTGGGTGTGTGTGTTGGTGTGGGTGTGTTGCATGACAACTCAGCACAGAGTGGAGGGTATCTGCTAAGCAGGTACAGCCAACTAGAACACTTCAACTTGTCGCTAAATTAAATGAGAAGATCTTAAATCTGACAAAAAAAACTATAACTTGTTCAATCTTAAGTCTACAAACATTTTAGACCTCCTCAAGCTCAAATATTTGCATAGTTGAACTGGGCTAATTGAGGGAGTAGTAAGTGAGTTATTCACAAATTAAATTCAGTTGCGAATCAACCGAAATTTATGAATTAAAACGGTTTCGCGACATTTTTTATTGCAATAAAAGAGTCCTTGATTTTGACCTTGAACTCATATGCAGAAACACTCAAGCACGTGCACTTACACACGCACCTACACACATCTATACACACACACACCTACACACATGCTTATGCATATTAATTACAATAATTCGCCTTATGCAACACGGCGTATGCGTAATGAAGCATTTGCCATTAGGCAATTGTTACTGATGTGCGTGTGTGAGTGTGTACGTGTGCATGTGTGTATGGGTGTGTGTGTGTTGAGTTATGCCGGCTCCAGTTAGTCGCACAGATGACTACGCACATTCGTTTTATTTGTGCTGCTAACTCTGGCAAACGAATCGGATATTTGCGACTTTTTGTGACTTTTTGCGACTTTTGGCTGCGACAATGGCGACAACGACGGCGCCGTCTGTAAAAATCTGTTTAAAAAATACGAAACAGAGAATGAAGAAGAGCACTTGGCCGGCTGGCTGGCAATAGGCGGAAGTTGCTTTGCCATTTTGAAGTCGTTGTCTCCATGCGGCAGGGCAATGACTCGATTCGTCTTGGCGTTGTTGAACCCGTTGCGCCTGCAGTTGCCGACATTACGCATACGGCATGTTGTGCAGCTGCAAGAATGCTCTCTCGAAAGCAATCAGTGTAGCTAGAGCTAAGCAATTATGCGCCTTCCAGACTACATCCATTCTCTTCAGTTTTAGTTTTTACTGAAATTGAGCTTTCCAAGCGGATGCCTATTTACGAGTCGATTTCTTTTAAGATAAGGGTGAGCAGAGGTTATTTTGTAGATCTACATATATATATATGTATATATATCTAGTCTATAAATCAAATTTGCTATCACTTTTATTAGTTTATAGTTCCCAAGCTATGGAGCTTGTGACGTCACATAAGCAATATAACAGAGCACCTCCAAAAATACGCCACGTCAACAATCGTCTTTGGCAGCATTCAGTTGTTATGGCAAAATTTATAGAAGCTGCGATTATATTTAACCGCTGCAAAAGTTGCTTGAGTTTGCATAAAGACTATCATATTAAGATATGAGTTAAGTTCCTCGGTTACTCTATACTCTATACTCTATACTCTATACTCTATACTCTATACTCTATACTCTATACTCTATACTCTATACTCTATACTCTATACTCTATACTCTATACTCTATACTCTATACTCTATACTCTATACTCTATACTCTATACTCTATACTCTATACTCTATACTCTATACTCTATACTCTATACTCTATACTCTATACTCTATACTCTATACTCTATACTCTATACTCTATACTCTATACTCTATACTCTATACTCTATACTCTATACTCTATACTCTATACTCTATACTGAGATGGTCATATTAGGCATATAAGACTGGCTATATAAGGTTTTACTGTGAATCAGAAATAATTCCATTTTGGGATTCACTTCAAAGAGAGGAGTTGCCCGATATCAACTTGATGTCGGATTTAATATCATATTTTAAAGATAGTGCAAGATCAGCTTAGTTGATAAGCCATTATGGCAAAGCAAGCATATAGCTATTTATATATATCTATATATATTTATTTATTTCTAGAGCGATACAGTTTTAATGTATATAGAAGCTGTGCGAAGCCTACAAATAGTTTTTGGTGATTATGATGAGATGTTACTCTATATATATTATATATTTATATATATATAGAGCTAATTATGTGTGTTGAGCTGAGCAGATGCCAAAGCTAAAGCCGCAGTGGATGTTTACAAAACAACAAATAAAAACAATTGAAGCCAAAGAAAACTGCAAACTTTGATATGCTTTAGATAATCTTTTATTTAAATTGTTGCCAACTAACAAAGCCAACAGAGAGAGAGAGAGAGAGAAAGAGAGCAACTAAAGAGAGAAACTTAAGACAGATAACTTAAAGCAACTTTTAATATATATTTTAGCTAGTTTAGCAGGTGGTTTCTTCTTCTTTTTTTGTAGCAGGTGTTCTTTGATTATCTTAATTTTTTTGAATAATTTGTGCTTTTGTTTTGGGTACTTCTCATAGCCATAATCTTTGTAGAAGTCCTTGTCTTTGTCCTTGTCCTTCTTCTTGGCAGCTGCCGGCGTGCTCTTGCGCGGCCGATTCATTAGCGGATCGTCCATGGTGCGCGATGCTTGTTGGCGCACCTGGGCGGGCGGACCTGGCGGCTTCTTCTTCTTCTTCTCGGGCTGTGGCTGCAGCAACAAAATCGATGGCTGCAGCTGCTGCTGTTGTTGCTGTTGCAGCTGCAACTGTTGCTGTTCGCGTCGCTCCAGAAACGCCGCATTCGCTGAGGCAACTGTGGCAATGCGCTGCTGCTGTTCGAGCTGCTCCAGTTGCTGCTTCTTCTTGTGGAACTGCACCATTTGTGAGCTGCGACGCCGCAACGCAACGCCGTAGGGCCCGAAGCCATCGCCACTTGCTGAGCCACCGACGCCAAAGAGTTTGCGTATGCGCCGCTTATTGATGAAGCCACCGAAGTTGACAGCAAGTCCCAATGCACCACCGGCTGCACCGCCAGCTCCTGTTGCTGCTGCACCAGCACCATTAAATGCCATTGGACAGGGACTGTGCCCAGTGGAGCTGCCCGCCTCGCTGCCGCCAGCAACCATGTGGCTAAAATTGCTGTCCAGATCGCAACTGGCGCTGCCATTGAAGGTGCCTCCGCCGATGGTGCCCGCTGAGTCGGCACCACACGGAAACAGATATGTATTCAGTGTGCTAAGCGTCGTCGTTGTCGCTGGCCGACTAATGGCGCCCAGGCTCAGGCCATTGCTGCTGCTGCTCTGATTGCTCTGATCGGGCAACAGTTGCAGCGTGAGCGGCAGCGGCAACATGATGGCTGTCGAGCCACTTATGTTGCCGCTGCCGGTGGTGCTGTTGCTGTCATAGCTATGTGGATTCACATAGATGTGATTGTTGTTGCTGTTGCTGTTGCTATTGCTGTTACTGTTGTTGTTGCTGGTGTGGGATATAGTTGCTGCTGTGTTGTTGTTGCTGATGCCACTAACCATCAAGCTGCTGCTGTTGCTGCTCTCGCTGTTGTTGTGATTGTTGTTGCTGGGCTGATGGGGCTGGCTATTGGTGTTGTTGTTGCTGCTTGATGGCAAGCTGACGTTGTAATTGTTATTGTTGTTGTTGTTGTTGTTGCTGCATCTGCCACGCTCTGGCGCTGTGGCAGGTCGCGGCTGTGCTGCTGGCATTGCAGATGTTGCTGCTGTTGTCGATGTTGCAATATCCACAAATTGACGACTGTTGCTGCTGGTAGTTGCCGTTGCTCGTGGCTGTGGCTGTGGCTGTGGCTGCTGCTCTCGCTCATGGCCATTGCCATTGCTGTTGCCATTGCAGTTGCTGTTGCTGTTGCCGTTGCTTGCACTCATTGTTGCGTGTTTTGTTGAAACCAATTGATTTTAAATTTTGAACGTTTTTTTTTTAATTTTAATTTTGATTTTGTTTTTTTTTCTTTTAAATTTATTTAAGTGCTTCCAAAAATTGTTTATTTTTTTTTATAAATTGCTTTAATATTTTATTAAAATTTTAAAGTATATAGTAAATTCTTTATAGTTTTTTGTGTATTTAATATTGGTTTAATTTATTTTAAATTATGTTTTTATAATTATTTAAAATATTTTTATTAAATTTGCATTTGATTTTTGTTTTTCTTGTTTTTTTTTTTTGTATTTAGTTAAATTGAGTTTTATTGGTATTTTATTTGCGTAATAAACTTGAAAAAAAAAGATTTTTAATTGTATTTATTTTTTATATTATTTATTTAACAATTTCTTTTTTTCAATTCCACTTAATTTTTGTTATGCTTTTTTTTAAATATATAAAAAAATCGGTTTGCCTTTGCATTAAAAATTAATTGTTGCACTTTTTTATTTATTTATATAGTTTAAATATTTATATATATGCATATATATAGTTTTTTTGCAATTATTTATATTATGTTTTTATTAAATTTATTAATACTTTTTATGTTGAGGAGAGTTTTATTAAATTTTTATTAAATTTAAATTACTAAAAATTTAGTTAAATATTTTTATATATATATTATTTTTATTTTTTATTTTATTTCAATTGTTTTTATATTTTAATTATTTAATAAACGTTTTCATGTATTTTGTTTAGTGTTTTATAACATTTGATTTATTTATGCTTCAAGCAGACGTAAGTTTAGATTTTTCTTTTGTTTTTTTTTTTTTCTTAGCACAGTTAGACACATGAGTTTTCATATACTTTTCACTGCATTTTGCACTGTTGCACATGAAAGCAAATAAAAGAAAACAGAATGGTTTTCGGTTGAGAGGCCACTCGATTATCACAGTGTTGATTAGTGCATTGATAAGGCTTTTCGTCACTTTGAGAGTACAAAAAAATGTAAAAAAAAAACAAACAAAAAATTGAAGTTTGAATAGCGCGCGGCACACTGGTCTGCAATGAATGCCACACGCATACACACACACACACGCACACACACTCGCACACTCACTCACACAGTGAGAGAGAGAGTCGTCGCTAGCCTCTGACTGGGCCGCTGCTGTTATCAGTCAGAGCCACGTGCTTAACGGGCCGCGTGCCACAATTGTATGAACTCTGCGGCGCGTTGTTGACAATGCCGCAGCGCCAACAGCCGCAGCAGCAGCGAGCTAACTGCGAGAGCGACAGAGAGAGAGAGAGAGAGAAAGAGCGAAAAAGAGCGAGTGTGCGAGCGAGCGAGAGAGAGAGCAAGTCACTGGCGAAACTCTTGCACACGCACACGCACGAAGTCATTCGCGCTGTTAGCTGCGTGTAAATGTGTTTGTCTCTCTGTGTGTGTGTGAGTGTGTTGTTAACTGGGCCGACGAGCTGGCTAACAGGAACTGGGGGCCAGACTCGCGCTGTCTGCCAGCGCGTTGTGACTTCTTCAAAAAATGCCAAACAATTGGCCAGAAATCTAAGCCAAAAGCAGCGCAGAAAACCACTTGAGGCACACACACACACATACACATACACATACACACTCATAGTTGTAGTTGTGGTCGTGTTCGGGCTCAATTTCGGGAGTGTTTCGGTTCAGTTGAGTTCACTTCATGGCTAACTTAACTAAATGCCGCGCTGCAGCAAAAGTAGCAGCAATAGCACACCAACACACACACCAACACACACACACCAACACACACACACTCATACTTGACTTTAACTCAACTCGGCTGCTCATCGGCTGGCAACTCGTGAACTCTGACAAAGCTGTGACTGTAACTAATGTATTATTGTTGCTGCTGTTGTTGTTGGCGTTAGTTTAACATGTTGTTGTTGTTGCTGTTGCTGCTGCTGCTGCTGCTGCTAGCCGAGGCGGCAACATTTCAATTCGGATTTGGCGAATCGTGCGGCTATTCTGCCTGCCTTTTTTATAGTTGTTGTTCGCCTCGTCCTCAGCCGTTGCTCTTTTGGCCCACCTCCTAGACACACACAGATATATACATATATATATATATATATATATAATTTTTTTCTTTTATTTTTTTGTTGATTTCGTAACAGTTAATACTATAAATACGTGTGTGTGTGTGTGTCTGTGTTCGCGTGTGTGCAGCAGCTGCTGCTGTTGCCATAAAGCAGTCGTTTATTCAACTGCTGCTCCTGCAGGTCAAATCAACAACATCTGCAACATTGTCAACAACAATATCTGCCACTGCCACTGCCACTGCTGCGGCTGCTGCTGCTGCTGCTGTTAGTCACATTTAACCTCCATATGCATATATGTATAAACACACACACTACAAGCAGCCATTTATCTTCTTCGAGCATATATTGCCCAGCCATGCAATTGCTTTAATTGTGACATAAATGAAAAACACAAATTGTTCTACGATTCAGTCTTATACTATATATATGCTATATATGATAGACGCTTAACAGCAGCATATGTTAGTTGACCTGGGCAGATGAATTTTTAGACTTGCCCAATTCGAAACTGAGCGCCTATAACTGATGCAATCAGTAATCCTACTCAGCTGTAGTCAGTTGAGAATTCCAAGTAAAATCATTAAAACTTCCTAAGAGCGCTCTTGGGCTAGAATAAAGCCTGAGCTCTGATTGCAATGATTCCGATTTCGATTTTTATTGATCGTAAGGAAATTGAATAAGCTATCGTTAATTTAGTATAATCGTACTGCCCTTCAAGTCTCTAGTCTGTTCATACGGACAGGCACATGCCAATGGCTATTTCGACTCGTCCTTCTGAGCTCTTATAGCGTCTGTCACGGCCCCGTCTGCACCTTTTGTATCGCCTACCGAAACTACCCACATCTATATATACTAAAACGAAGTAGATTTGCGCATTTAGGCAAAAGCTTTTACATGAATATTGAATGTGGAATATGAATATTAAAAAAGAGGGCGTATTCTGATTCCTCATGTTCAACCCATATGAAGCTATACAAATGTGAAAGGCAGCTCAAAGTTTTCACTGCATACCACACAGTGGCACATCATGTTAGAAGGCTGCAAAACAAACCAATCCTTAGATGTGTTCTTATACCCATTCACAAACTGAATAGAGTATATAGGCTTGATGCAACGTTCCTCTAAAAGCAATTGCTAGTGAAGCTAGAGAAATCATCGTCGTCGCATAAAGCGATAAGATTTTCCTTAATACACCCACTGGGGGTGTGTAAAATCAGAAAATACTATGCACCCACTGGGGGCGTGGCAACACGAGACTAACTGCTGTAGTGTTTTGCATACATTTTGCTGACGGCCAAATTCGACTCTGAAGCTATTGCTGAGCTGCTCTAGTATATATGTATCTTGGTTATATATTTTGGGGGCATGGCAAATTGGGAAAAACCTTATCTTCTGCAGACCTTCTCTCGAGATTGACAACGTCAAGGAGTATTGAAAAGTCGGTGCAGCAGAAATTGTACAGATAAAAGTCGAATGTGGCTCAGACATTTCCAAGACTTAACTCTCATCAAGATGTTGCGTGTAAGACCTATATATATTCTATATATGTTTTATTTAGATATGCTGCTTATTATTTTGACCGCACACAGAGTGAACGTCAGCAAAACAAGAAGCCTAGGCAAATGTGGCTAATACTTGATGCTTGGCATGGCCAACGCGTCGCATGCGCAATTTGTTGAATTGATGTGACGCATACGCAACGTAGCTCAGCAAGGGAGTAGGGCGGGGTGTTAGTTTGAGGGAGTATGCCTGAAAACGTGTTTGGATCATAGCAAATATGCAAAGCACTTCTATCTGCAGCCTGTATGTTGTTTTGCCTGCTCGCATGCCTGTCAAAGCAAATTGACAGTGTCATAGTAAAGAGTTTTTTCCATTTTAGTTGATTTCCATATTTTTTGTTTTATTATGCGATTCTTTTTGCCAGGCTGTTGTAGTTGTTGCTGTTGTTGCTGCTGGTTCGCTTTGCGTTTTTGCGGCAACCTTCATAGCTAATAAGCAGGCTGGCAGCAGTCACGGCACGTGAAATAAACTGACTTTGACTTCAACGAGAGCGAACGAGAGAGACAGAGAGAGGGAGAGTGAGAGTGAGTGCGAGGCAACAGAAATATTGATCAAATTTTTGTTTGTCAGCGTTGCCACAACAGCAAATGGGACAAATGAATTGGTGGGACAACCCCCGCGTCCCCCCAGCCCCCGCTGCTCGCTGCTCACTGCTCACTGCTCAGAGCGAATGTCAGGCAAACAAACAAATAAATTCTCAGCACCCACCCGCTTACTGTAATGGATCAGCAGGCGGGCAGACGGGCAGTCATCTACCCGCACGCCTCTTCCCTCTCTCATGAACATGCCCCCTGCCACGCCTCTTAGACAACCGCTGGGAAGCAGCCTCTGAGCAATCTCCAACTGCAGCTGGCGATGACGCTTTGCATTTGACATAAGCAAACAGCAGCAGCTCGCTGTC